AGTGAGGAGGTATTTGCCGGACACACCTTCTGGGCTGCCAGTGTGCACCAGTGCAGTTAGACCCTCACCAAGGCCATGATCAGCCTGGGTACAGCCTGGCCTTTAGGGCCTGGCTCAGACCATGGTGGGGTCTGGGGCAAGGAGAAGGCCAGCATCACAAACCTTCACATCCCCGCTCCTTTCTTCCTCCCCACCCGGGAAAGGATTCAAGGCTCCAAAGGGATGGGTCTGAATACCTGGAGAAACATCATCACTACCCAGTAAACCATGGAGTCCCCATGACTGGTTCTCCTGGGACCCGGGGCCCAGCAGGAGGCTTCCCCCGACGCAAGTATGCGCATATAGCATGCACACATGTGTCTAACATGAAATTATACCCCGGAAGATGAATGGTGTGGCGAAGAACCAGGAGGAGCTTCTGGGTTTAAAAGAAACAAAACAAAAAAAAACGAAAAGCCTCTCCTTCCTTCCCTGCTGGAGCCTCTGGGAAGCCCAGAGTCAACAGCGACCATAAACCAGGACACAGTGAACCTTGGGGCCCTGTCCAGCCTGGAGGTTTCTGTGAACAAGAAACAACTTCTCCTCCAGCTCTTGAGTAAAAACAATGGAGCTAAATTCATTTCGGGTCATTAGTGTTCCCAAAGGATGCAGAAGCAGAGATAAGGACTGACAATGTTACACTTTGTGCTGACTCTCTTCTTCTCCCCAGTGCTCAGACCTTTCACTTAGGCCCTTTTCAACGTTCCTGGGGAACAGCTTTCTCTAGTTTTTTCTCCAGCTGGTTTTTCTCTTGGCCAAGAACAGGTTTTCCTTGGGGTTTTAGGACTACAGCACCCAGGGAGCCCTGGAGACAGGCCCTGCTCTCAGGACACAGTGTCTTGGAAACCGGCATTACTCGGCATTAACTAATCTGCATAGCCCTCGGGCCAGAACACACATTCTTCCAAGACTTTCACTGGGATAAGCGTAAAAAAGAAGCTCCGTTTCCCCAGGTCATCCTTTTAAGAAAGTAATTTATAGTTCTAATCTTACAGAGCTGTGCCTCTGTATAAACATATTAACATAAAGAAAGAAAGAAAAAACAGTGAGAAGCCAAAGAGAGGAACATACTGTGATAGGCCAGAAACTGTTCCGTTTTTTGTTTGTTTTTCATTCAGAACCCCAAAGCTGCCAGCCCAAGAGCCCAGGGTCTGTACTGGGGGTGTCCATGCCAGACCTGGGGCCAAGTTCTGTCCGTGTCCTCAGGCTTTGTACAGCCAAGTCCTGCACAACCCCAAGAAGAACCTGATTTACGAGGGGGTCCCCTTTTGGCCAATGATTGTCTCACATTCAGGGGCCTGGCCCCGCTGGCATAGTGGATTTTGGGGCCATTAGTCTTCATTGTGTGTACAAGTCATACAAAACAGACTTGAAGCTGTGACTATGGGCCACGGACACCCCCCCCCCATACACACACACACACTTTTTGCTGTCTGGGCTAAAGCAAAAAAGCTGATTCTTGTCCAAGCGTGGACTGAGCTATCAAACAAAGCATCAGCTCCCAGCACTGCTCAGCACCCAGAAAACGAGGCCCACTGTGAACTATCAGAGAAGCCATCCTGCATCAGGGTCAAGTGTGCCCAAGAACCTAATAGCAGTCAGGCGCAGAGCTGTCACTCAATAAACGCTTTCGGAATGAATGGAGCAGAATGGCCTTTTCAAGAAAAGAGGAAGGGGAGGAAAGGTAGGCTAAGAGAAACAGGATGAAAAGCGAAGCTTGACTTCAGCAGAAATTAATGTGGTCCTAGAAGGGTGCGCAAAATCCCTAAAGTCCAAAGACAGGATGGGGGAGCCTGCCTCTCGGGGGGAGCCTGCCTCTCGGGGGCAGCTGTACTATATGCTCTGACTATATCTCAGTCTGGGGGTGCTAACTTACTGTTCCTGGTTGGCTCACCCACCCAATATCTGCAGCAGCTATTTCCAATCCTCACCTCCCCTCTCGTCTCCTGGGGCTTCTCCACACCTTCTCTCTCTCCCTTGAATCTACCACAAACCCACCCCACCCAGCTTCTTCACCTCCAGCTTTAAAAAGGCTCTAGATTTCCTCATTCTAAAACAAATTTGCCTTCTCTCTTCCCTACCCCCATCTCCCTCCAACAACTATCTTCTCCACCCTTCTCCCGGTGCTGCACCCACCGCACTGACTTTTGCCCCCAACTCTCTACCTACTCACTTACTAACAACCCCCTAAAGACTAAATCCTAAATCCTAAAGAACTAACTCTTCCGACTTGTCAATCTCATCTCTATACTAAAAAGACTCTCTTCTCTCAGCTTCCTCCACACTGCCACCCTCCTGGCTTGCCTTCCATCTCTGCCTGTCCCTTAAGTGGAGGTACTATTATTCCCTTCTGTCTCGGGTCCTTTTTCACAATATCCCATACCGGTGCCCCCCCCAAAGCCACATCTCCAGCCAGGGTGCTCTCATGGCTGCTAGGTCCCTGGAGTACACTCCCCTCTGAGTACACACCACCACTTGGCTATCTCATGGGGACCTCAAGTCCACCTGCCCCCACACCAACCTCCTGGGTTCTCCATATCAAGTGAGGGACATGACCATCCACTCAGACACCTAAGGCAGACATTTTAGGCTCCTGTCAGCAGCACCTCCCCACCATATCCTGTCCATTAGTTCTTCCCATCCCTGCTGATACTGCCATTGCGTAGGACCTTATCATTTCAAACTCCTTACTGAGATCACTGCTTCCAGTCTGGGTTAGAAGAGCAAACTGGCAGGAAGGGGTGGGTGGTGAGGCTGTGTTTACACAGCATTTTATGTAACTGAAAAGTCATCAATAGTCCACATCAGAGTAGGAAGGTCAGAGACAATGGAGATCACAGGGGGCTAACCCCCCACTCCCACCCAGCCTCAACTCCAACTTCTCCCTGCTGGCTGTGCACCACCACCAAACCACTCAGCTGTCAAAATGGCCTTTCTGTGTGACATGTATCTCACATGTCTGGTCCTGCATTAAACACTTTGATGGACCCCCCCCCGGCTCTCTTCCCATGTATCCAGGATGCATGACCCCAAACAGCCTAGCTCCCACTTACACATCCACACCCCAGGGGGTTCCCTCTCCAGTGGTCACGATTCCATGCCTGTGCCCATACTGTTCCGTCTACCTGAAGTGCTTTTCCTCTTCTTCACCCTTCTCTATCTTTTATTCAAGGAACATTTGTTTTAGGTCAAACTGGCTCAGATTACAGATCAGGAAAGGTTCAACGTCAACACCTTTTATCATCCTCATACAAAGAACATTCTTTGGACTGGTATGATGTAGAATTGTATGATAATTACTACAAAGTCTTCTTTTCAAAAGGGATGTTTCTAATGGTAAACCAGTGATTTATTTTGCACCTATGATTCTCTTATCCACTAGAGAAAAACTGCATATAAAAAAAATCCAACTTTGCATCTTTTCACGGCTCCCTCGCCCCATGCACATCCTCCCACTGGAAAACCTGTTCTGGGAGACTTGAGAACATAACCCTCACAGGTGTTCTCCATCTCTTCTGCCCTTCCCTCTGTCATTTCCCCCAGATGCTACCGTAGGTCCAGACCCCCATCTGTTCAGAGAAATAATTCAGAGAGGAAATGAAGTCCCAGAAAGAGGCAGCAACATTCTGGAGGCTACAGAGCAATTTTGTGGGGGTGGCGTCAGGCTCTGGGGCTCTAGTGATTCCCAGGCCTGGCCTCCTTCTGCAATTCCATGGCCTGTGATCCTGTCCCAAATGCCACACATAATTAGAAGTTATAATCCTGTAATTCCATGATGACAGCTTTGAACTTAAATATACCTTAAAACTACTCTTTTTTTAAATGCTAAAAGCAATTTAACCCAAAAGAATTTTTTCCCACTCTGTCCTCACCTTTCCCCACATTTCCCTCCAGTCCTGCCCATCCCCTGGAGCAATCCCTCCTCACCAGAGAGCAAAAGCCCAAAGACTGCCTCACAAGGGAGGAGGAAGATGCCAAGTCCATTTATCCACCGGATCATTAGGCTTTGAACAATTAAGAACTGATTGTTCTGTGGGAAACAGTTTCACTTCCCTGTTTATAATTACGTACTCTACCTCGGGTCACATATGTTATAAAAAAAAAAAATTTTTTTTTCTCAAGCCACAAGTCAAACCTGGCCAAGCCTCTAAAGGCTATTTTTAGACTGGCGGGGACCTGCAAGGAGGAAGGGTGGAAGGTGACACCGTGACTCTGCGCTCAAAAGCATCGTTGTAGCCCAGGCCTTGCCACCTGCCGGCATCTGAGTGCCCCTGTTCTGCGGGCTGGGGTCGTTTTTGAGGGACGGGACTAAGGACTATTATCTCCAGGGCGGGAGGCCTGCGTGTGTGCCGAGGGTCGCCGGAAAGTGCCAAGCTCCCGCGGAGCCCGCGCTCACCAGGGTCTCTTCAACAATCAAATAAGTCACGTCTGCCACGCTCACGCCCTCCTGGGCGATTTGAGGCAGAGAAGGGGGTGACGCCCGAGGTCACCTCCCACCAGCAGCTCACCACCCCTGCCCTCAAAAAAGTCGAATAAACAGACACTGGAAGCATTCTGGAGGCTAAAGGAGACCGCCAACACGCCTGGGATGATTCTTCTATCTCCACCCGCGCGCGCCCCTGCCAAGCGCTTGGGTCCCAGTGCGCCGCGAGGAGGGCTCCAGCGCAACTAGGAACCAGTCCCTTCCCCAGATGCACCCTCCTGGCCACATCCTCCGCCGGCACCTGCGCGGGGGAGGCCCCAGGCGCCCCCAGCCCCGGAAGCCACTAGCTCTCGGCCGCCGGGTACACGGCCGCCGCACCCCTCAGCCCGAGGCTCCGCCCGGCCCACCACAGGCCAGAGCGCCCTCTCCCCCTCCGGGTCCAGTTGACCCCGGCCACCCGCTCCCGCAGCCCCCTCCACAGCCTGGGGGAAAAGGGGTCTGCAGCCCGCAGACTTCCCGGCTGTCTAAAGCCACCCACCTTCCGAAAGTAGCCGTCGCCCTCCTTCTCCAGAGGCTGGGGGGCCGCGGGCAGCAGAGTGTCAGTCATGCTGGCGACGCGGGCGCGGAGAGAGGACTGAGGCTGGGCAGCCGCGCCAGCCCCAGAGGACTCCCGGAGCCGCCCCGCCCCCGGG